CCATCAGAACTGCAGACGCAGGGGCCCAGATGCTCACTCCGTCCCTGGGTCCGGAGCCACGCTCTCTGGGGAGGTGTCCAGTCTCTCTGCAGCCTCCACAGTGCTTCAGGGCCCTGTCACCCAGGAGCTGAGGACTRGGCCTCCAACAGCAGTCCACGGGGACGCCGAGTGGGAAGGAGCAGGAGGGCGCTGCCTGTGACACCGCCCCCGCTGGCCTGGTCCCCTGCCCTTTGCCACTRAGGTGGCACACAGGGGGCCCTTGCCAGATGTTGCTTGGTTGACGCAGCCTCTGCCCAAATACAGTAATCTGTATTGAGGGCCTACTGTGTGCCACGCACCCCGTGAGCCCAGATATGTGCGGGCATCCAGGTCACAGCCATAAACAAGAAACCAGAATCTCAGCTGTGTGCACCGGGCCCAGTGTGCAGCCTGTAATCCCAGTCGGGAGGCTGAGGCAGGAGGATCATGAGTTCAAAGCCAGCCTCACAACTTAGGGAGGACCTGCCTTAAAAAAAACAAAGTAAAAATAAAACCGGGCTGGGGATATGGCAGGTGTGGTTACCTGGTCAGGTGTCCAGGGAGGACACGTCAGTGGACGCTGGGAGAGGGCCCGGTGCACTGTGTTGCATCTTGGAAAGGATATACCTGGCGGACGGAGCCGCAAGGCAGAGCCCAGAGGTGCACGGGGCTGTGTGAGGGAAGGGGAAAGCCAGCAGGGGGCGCTGCAGGGGTGAGGGAGTGGGTGGCCGCAGCCCTGAGAATCGCCGGCCGCGGTCGCTGCCCRGCCTGTGTCCCCCAAGTGGTGGCTGTGTGTGCTGCTGAGCCGGATCTGGGTCTCAGGGCAGGTCAGGAGCCAGGTGTGGCCCTTGCTGTGTGTGTGACCTTGTCCACTTACTTCTGCTGTCCAGGCCTGTCTCCTCCTCTCTAAAGTGGGAATAAAAAGGGCAGTGATGTCTCACAGCCGGTGAGGTGGGTGGAGCTCCGTCCTGCAGACACATGTGCCTGGTACTGAGAAAGGGCCTGATAAATGGTGGCCACTGTGTGCCTAAGAGTCAMTCCTGTCTTACAAGATGGAACGGGCGCAGAGATGTTAAGTAACGTGTGCAGTGTCACACAGCAGGCGAGCAGTGGAGCTGGAACTGCATGTGACTGTGCTGCTCTGAACCCTCAGGCGAGTGGTGTTGGTCTCCAAGAGACCCACTCTGTGCTGAGCAGGCGGGAAACAAAGACGAGGGAGGCGGCTAGAGACCAGAGGGTCCCGGCCCTGGGACTGAGAGCTGGRGTAGGGAGTAACTTCTGCCCACGGCTGGGGCAGAAGGTGCAGGACGCCAGGTTCAGGACGGTGTTGACCCAGGTACAGGACAGTCCTCCAGCCGCRGGCGCACTGTGTGGGGGAGGGCGAGTGTGGCGCCAGGGGATCTGAGCCCAGCTTCTTCTCCTGACCCCGGCTCCGTGGGCTGTGACCCCCAGAGCCCCCGCGCGGTCCCCAGACCCTTGCAGAGCARGCGTGAGGCAGGGGCTCCATCCACAGGGAAGATGTCGCGGGTGGAGAAGGGACGCTTTCCCCCTCTGACAAACGCGTGCGCGTGGGACGCGGGCATCTGGCCGCGGGGCTCTGCCTGGGCCGGCTGCAGCTCGCTCCCGCCCTCAGTTGCAGGGGCGGTCACCGCGGACTTCTTCTCCGGCCTGGTGCACTGGGGCGCCGACACGTGGGGCTCCGTGGAGCTGCCCGTCGTGGGCAAGGTGCGTACGTGGGGCCAGCCCGCCTTCCCGAGGGTGAAGCAGAGGCGTCAGGACGGGTGGTTGGGAGCTGGGTGTGGGCCTGCCTTGAACTTGGAGTCCCTCCCGCAGCCCTGGCTGCTGGTCTGATCGGGGCTGGACCTGGCTTCATCCGACGCKGCCCACCCCGGCCTTCCCACCCCTCCACGTCCCCTCACGGCCGCCGGGTGGCTGCCCAGCCCACCCACAATGAGAGAGGTCCCCCACCGTCACAGCCAAAGCCCCCACTCACCCCACGGCCCCGCTTGGGCCACGTGCCCACTGCCCAGTCAGACCGAGTGGCCAGAGGGGCGGTGCTCTGCGGGCACATCGGCTCTCAGAGAGCTTGTGCCAGAGAGGGGTCTGCAGTGGCAGGYGGCCCTGGCTGACTGGTCGGCGCCCCGCGGCCACCAGGCTTTCATCCGGCCGTTCCGGGAGCACCACATCGACCCCACGGCCATCACGCGGCACGACTTCATTGAGACCAACGGGGACAACTGCTTGGTGATGCTGCTGCCGCTGCTCAACATGGCCTACAAGTTCCACAGCCAGAGCCCAGGTGAGGCCGGGCGGGGGCGGGGCGGGGGGCTGCAGCGGGTCCCAAGCCCCTCGTGCTCCGGCTGGGCGCCGTCGGTGGTCACTGGAGTCCAGGGGTCGGACACAGACACTGGGTCAGCTCCCCTGGGCAGTGGGAACTGGGCTCGGCCTGCCCCCGGCCCTGGCCCCCGCCTGGCTTCACGCACCTGTCGCCACTGCTGCCCGCTCCTGCCCACCCGGGCCTGTGCGCTTTCTGCTGGCCCCGGGGCTCTGGGTGGGAGCAGCTGCCCGCCCCTGCAGCCACCTGAACTCAGCCCCGGTGACGCCCCCTTTTGAAAGGACTTGCCCCAAGGCCACTGCAGCCGGGTGGAGGTGAGGTCAGTCACACCCTGGTCACTTCGGTGGGCTTGAGAGTGGCTCCTGTGGGTGTTGGTGATGAATATCTGCAGGGCAGAGGGTGCCTGGTGCCACGTCGTGCCTCCCCACCCCTGTCACAGCTGCTGAGTGGCTGCCAAGTGTCCCCGCTGCCCTGCTCCTGTCACCTGCCCAGGAGGCCCTGCCTCTCCCCTTGGGACGAGGCTGGAGCTGGCCGCAGAAGAAGGGAAGGCCAGCGTGGTCTCGGGTGGGGCCGGCTCCGTGGGCTGTGACCCCCAGAGCCCCCGTGCAGTCAGTCCCCAGACCCTTGCAGAGCTGTGCCCCTGCTGTGCCTGCCTCCCTCGGGTCTGTCCCCTGGAGACTCCTGGACCAGGTCTGCGTGGGAGCCTGGGGGAGGCTYGTCAGTGGTCAGGAAGTGAGACTCAGGGACATTGTCCCCGAGCGAGCCTGGGCCCGCCCTGCTGTGCCACCACCGCGTCTCCCTGCCCCTGTGCTTCCCCCCTCCTGGCCCAGTGGAAAGGTGGCCTGAGGCTCGCGGAGGCTGGCAGACCACCCAGGTGCCCCTGGCCCTGAGCTGCAGGGTGAGGGCCGGTGGCCCGGCCCYGGTGACGCCCCTCTCTCCACAGAGGCCCTGGCACAGCTGTACCCCTGGGAGACCTTCGTCTTCTGCCTGAGCGTCTTCGGCACCTTCACCAACCAGATCCACAAGTGGTCGCACACGTACTTYGGGCTGCCACGCTGGGTCACCTTCCTCCAGGACTGGCACGTCATCCTGCCACGGAAACACCACCGCATCCACCACGTCTCTCCCCACGAGACCTACTTCTGCATCACCACAGGTGCGGGCCGGCGGGCCGGGGCCTGGGGCGGGCGGGCCTCGCGGGGTCCTGCAGTCTGGCCCTCGCGGGTCTCAGGGCACACCGACGAGCATCAGCTGTGTGCCGGGCACCCTGCAGGTGCCACAGTAAACCCACCCCACGGAGCCCTGACTCCCGCCACCCACCAGCCAGAGCAGGTGTTTGTTGAGCACCTACTGTGTGCCCGTCTCTGCTTTGGGCCTAGGACCCAGCAGTGGATAAAACCGACTCCCCGCCACGGGGGTGGGCACAGGAAGTAAAGATGCAGCTCATCTGCTGGTGCCACGGGGGGAGCAGCGGGGCACGGCGGGCTCGGAGGGTCCCCTTTGAATAAGGTGTCAGAGGTGACGTTGAGCAGAGGCCTGGAGGAACTGGGAGGGAGCTGAGGTGTCTGGGGAGCCCCGGGTGCGAGCCAGGGAGATGCGAGGCAGGGAGCGAGGAGGTCGGATCTGGAAGAGGTGGGTGGTCCTGAGGGACATGGGGACAGGTCAGTCTGGCAGAGGAAACAGTCCAAAGGCCTGAGCTGGGGACCCTGCTGGGACAGACACACGGGCCCATGGCGGAGGGGGAAGACGCCCGTGTGAGGTGCCCCGGGGCCCGTGGGAGGCGGGGTCGGCCACCTGTGCCGTGGCGGGCTCCCTGCCGCGTGCCGCTCACCTGTCCCCCTGCGCAGGCTGGCTCAACTACCCCCTGGAGAAGGTGGGCTTCTGGAGGCGCCTGGAGGACCTCATCCAGGGCCTGACGGGCCAGAAGCCTCGGGCCGACGACATGAAGTGGGCGCAGAAGGTCAAGTAGCCTGGAGCACAGCTGGCCGCCGGCCTCCCCGCCCCCACGGAAGCCATCTGCCAACTCCGGCCTCCTGGAGTGGCCCCTCCGCGCGGAGGACCCTCCTGGGCTGCGCCCGGGCGCCCGCCCACCCCCGTGACACAGAATACTTGAGCCACTGATTTTCCCATTTCCTCTTTCCGTTCTCTTTCCTGGGCCCCCGGCCAGCGGCCGCGCCATCTGCCGGGCCTGACTGCAGAAAAGAGCCCTGTCCTGCCCGTCCCTCAGGCAGAGGGCCACCGCRCCCTGCGCGCCTGCCACCCACCCAGGCAGCCCTTCAGCGTGGCTGGCACTGGCTGCTGAGTCCCCTCTGTGTCCTTCCCTGTTTGACACCAGAGGTCCAGGAGGCCCCAGGACACTGTCCTGCCTTGTCCTGTAGACTGACCCAGAGGCCCTGGTAGGGGACAGTCCTAGCCACTGCCTTCAGCCTGCCTGTCCACCCAGGGGTGGCACGCCCCCCAAGGTCGGGGGACAGCTGGCCAGGAAAGGCTGGGACCCCCAAGTCTGACCCCCACYCCCTGCCCTCTGGTTCTGGCCCGAGCTGGGGTCTCGCACAGAGACGCCGAGCAGGGCCCTGCCAAGGCTCCTGGCCCCGGGGACGGGCACCGTGTCCCCTCTGGCCAGGGTGTTGTCAGAGAAGGAGGAAGCGGGGCTTTTTGTTCTGGTTTTTTTTTTTTAAAGGTGCTTGCTTGTTTAATGTAAATAATAGAAAGCCTTAATACCTTCTCTGTAACGCGGAGTGATATTTTAACGCCATGTTGGATGTACGTATATATTTATAACAGGCAGGAGCCTGCTTAACCTGGCTGCCCGCTGTCCCTGGGGGCCAGGTGGGGGCTCACCTGGCCCATCCCAGCTCCCCCAGCCCTGGCCTCAGGATGGGGGCTGTCACCTGAGGCCATGAATCAGTGTTGACAGGCTCCAGACGCTTGGGGAAGGGACCCSACTCGGCAGCCTTCCCTGTAGATCATGGCAGAGTCACGAGGACTGACCCCAGTCCAGGAGGCCATCTGGCACAGGTTCATTTGCGGCTGAYGTGGGCCAGGCTCTGAGGCACCGCAGCAAGAGACCAACAAGGACCCGCCTGGTGGATCTGACCCCCCAGAAAGAGACAATAAACATAAATAAATAAATGCACATGGAAATTCAGATGGTGATCTGTGAAGGAACAGGGTAGAACCCCATTGGAAAGGTGGGGGGACATGGGCAGAGGGGGCAGTGGGGGGGTGCTGAGGAGGGGCCACCTGGTAAGACCTGGAGGAGGAGGAGGCAGAGCCGCCAGGGAGCAGCAGGGAAGGGGCYTCTTGGTGGGATGGCAAGTGCAAGGGCCCTGAGGCAGGAACAGGTTTGAGGCCAAGAGGAGGCAAGTCTGGACTGGAGTGAGCAGGGGGACAGTGGAGAGGAGATGGGAAACCCAGAGCGTCGCTGCCTCCCAGGCYGACGTGAGCGCGTGGCCACTGGACATTTTAAACAAAGGAAGTTGTTTCTATTTTGAACAAGTTACCGTAAGGCACACGTGTCGGGCTGGGATTCAGTTGTGGACGCTACAGACTCTCGTCAGAATCTTTGGGACTCGAGTATAACCCAGGGGTAAAGGGCCTGCCTGGCGTGTGTGAGGCCCTGGAAAAGCAAAACAGAAATCTATTCTGGACTAGTTTCTGCAGTTAGCCAGAAGAGAAGGCCTGTCAGGGACAGGAAAACAGTAAGATCAGAGCAGTCACATACAACATGGGTTCATTTTTAAAAGCGTGTTGGCTCAGGAGGCTGAGGCGGGAGGATCGTGAGTTTAAAGCCAGCCTCAGCAAAAGCCAGGTGCTAAGCAACTCAGTGAGACGCTGTCTCTAAATAAAATACAAAACAGGGCTGGGGGTGTGACTCGGTGGCCGAGCATCCCCGAGTTCAATCCCTGGTACCAAAAAAAGAAGTGACCCCTACCTTCGTTTTCTTCAACTTTGGTCACCACGAGGCTTTTTTAGGCCTATGTCTGAGGGGACCAGTAACGGAAGGGATGTTAGAGTTTGATGTGTCACAGAGACAGGTGATGGTCGCCTGGACCCCCAGCTGCTCTGGAGGCTGAAGCAGGAGGATCCCAAGTAGGAGACCAGCTTGGGAAACTTGAGCAAGACCTTGTGTCAAGAAAGAAAGGGCTGGGCGTGGAGCTCAGTGGGCAGTGTCCCTGGGTTCAGTCCCCAGTACCCCCCAAAAAAGAAAACTAAAGAAGAAATTTGTAGCTAAAGGAATTGTATCAGCTCACAAGACTCAGATGCCCATGGGGTGGCCCTGCCTTGAAGTTGGACAGGACCCAGGGACTCACAGTTCATCAGAACTTGGTCTCTGTCTTGCCTCGGTTTCCCCCGAGTTGAGACGACATTGAACAGTGGCCCATCTCCGGGGACTCGCCCTTCCCACTAGTTGCAGAGGCCCGGAGTGGACGCCCAGTGGCTTGGGTTGGGTCCTGTGCCTACCCTGAATCCACCACCTTGGCCTGCTGGTGGGGCACGGGTGAGTGTCGCTTGGCCAGGAGAAACATGTCCCTGCGACCTTCTCAAACCCCAGGAGGGAGGCAGGTACCCAGAAGAGGGCGTCTGTACAAGAGAGTGTGATGGATGGGCAGGGGCCAGACTCCAGAGGGGCTGGGTGAGCGGCCAGGGGCTGCCAGGGTCGCTGTCCTGTCCCCAGGCCCTGCCAACCTGTGGCGGTTGCCCTGGAGCTAGCAAGAGAAACGAGTCCAGAGGTCAAGTGACTGGCAGCAGGTCCCACAGCCGAGGATGGCTGAGCCAGGCCTCCCCTCCCGCCTGAATCCCAGGGGCTGGAAGATGCTTTCCCAAACCAGAGGGAGCTCCGTTCTGCATCAGGTCAGTGTGTGCCGGCCACGGATAAGATCAGGGCTGGCAGAGAAGTGTGGTGGCCAGACAGGAAATGCCACTCAACCCCTGAAAACCAGCACCTGCCAGACGGCAGGGCCTGGGGCCATCCCGCAGCTCGGGAGTGACCCCTCTTGGCACCACTTGCAGATGGGGACGCTGAGGCCTGGAGGTTACCTGTTGTGCTCAAGGTCACAGCTGGTAGGTGGCAGAAACAGGATCCAAGCTCATGTCCCACCCAAAGCCTTCGTGCCTCAATACCCATCAGTAGCCCCAGAGAAGGAGGGAGGGAGGCCAGTGACAGAGAAGTGCTCAAGAAAACCAGTCCACATGGGAATGGCCACCCTGCTGGGAACTGGGTGACCGCAGCTCTCCACACACAGCTGCTCTGGGCATCAGCTGATTAAAGAGAAGCCAGAAGTCCAGAGTTTTCTTTTTCTTTCTTTTTAATTTTCTTTAGGTGTCTTTGGACACGAGGCCTTTATTTTATTTGCTTATTATTATGTGGTGCTGAGGATCGAACCCAGGGCCTGGCATGTGCTAGGGGAGCGCTCTACTGCTGAGCCACCACCCAGCCCCCAGTCCAGACTTTTCAAATGCTGGCTCCATGTTTAAAACACGATGCCGGCCGGGCGCGTTGGCACTCACCTGTAATCTCGGCGGATTGGGAGGCTGAGGCAGAAAGACCGAAAGTTCCAAGCCAGCCTCAGCCACTTAGCAAGGCCCTAAGCAACTCAGTGAGGCCCCGTCTCAAAAAGCGCTGGGGACGCGGCTCAGTGGTTAAGCACCCCTGAGTTTAAAAAAACAAAAACAATGCGGACCAAGCAATATAGGTGTCAGGGGCCACCTGGGACAGCCACCCAACCTGGGCGCCAGCTTTCGGTGAGCATATGCTGCCATCTGGTGGTGGAGCAGGGTGGGTGACATGCAGGGCAAACCCTGGTTCCCAAGCGTCCAGGTCTCTTCAGAGGGGGTCTAGGCACACACCGCAGGCTCCTGTCCACTGCTTGACCCCAACCCCTTTGGGTAAACCTGTAATGCCAGGGACTCCAGAGGCTGGGGCAGGAGGACGGCGAGCTCCAAACGAGCCTGGGCCACTTAAGACTCTGCCTCAAGTTAAAAAGGGCAGGAGATGTAGATAAGTGGTGGGGTGTCTCTGGGTCCTAAAAATAACGTATTATTCGAAAGAAAATGAGCCATCTAGGCAGAGTGGGGCACACCCGAAATCCCAGCCACTCGGAGGCTGAAGCAGGAGGATCACAGCCTCGGCAATTTAGCCTCAGAAATCAAAACCCTGTCTCAAAATTTAAAAAAAAAATCTAAAGGGCCACGGGTGTAGCTCAGTGGTAGAGCACCCCTGTGTTAGACCCCAGTACCCCCCTCCACACAAGAATGTGAACACAAAGCAGGCCACAGCAAGGGTCAGCGGGCGACAATGGGCCAAATCCAGCCCACTGGTTTTGCTGTGGCCACAAGTGCTTGTTTTTAAATGATTGGCAAGAGAATCTTTCAGTACAGGACATTCAAATGCCAGCGCCCCATTGCAGAGTTTAGTTGGCACATGGCCGTGCCCACCCACTCACTCGTCCYTGGCTCCTTTGTGCTGCAGCAACGAGGTAACTGGTTTCCACAGAGGTCAGGTGGCCTGCAGAGCCATGAGACCAACTCTCTGGTCCTTTACAGTAAAGGTTCCCAGTCCCTGATCCACCTCGAAGTCAAACACCCCAGTTTCTGCCCCCCAAGCCCTCGGCTCCCCTCCCAGGCCCACCATTCTGAAGTACCCTTGCAAGTCTCTGATACAGGCACACGGTGATGTCCACCCACACACAGCAGGCGGGACTGGGCTCTGCACCTTCCCCTTTTTCACATAACCATTTTGGAAATAGTGTTATCAATGTTCAGAAAGCTTTCTTCCTTTTTTATTTTCTATTTTTTTTTATATATATATCAGGGATTGAACCCAGGGGCGCTTAACCACTGAGCCACATCCCCAGCCCTTTTAATATTTTATTTAGAGACGGGGTCTCACTAAGTTACTTAGGGCCTTGCTAAGTTGCTGAGCCTGGCCTGCACTTGCTGTACTCCTGCCTCAGCCTCCCAATTCACTGGGGCTACAGCATCCCCATACCCAGCCTGACTCACTCCTTTTGACAGCTGTGTAGTATTCCACCTCAGGATGGACCGAACCTTTCTAAATCTACTTCCAATGGTTGTTGGGTTGTTTTCAGTCCGGAGTTTTGCAAACTGCTGTTAACTTGCAACAAACATCTCAATCTTTGCTCATAGGGCCACTGGATCTGAAGGGTCAGCTCCTAGGAACTGAATTGCAGGGCCGAAGGGTGTTTGTGTTTAAAAATTGTGATAGCTCGCACCCAGCCCTGTTCCAGAGGCTGGTGCATTCACACTCACCGCTGCTGAGCAGCCTGTGGCCCACATCCTTGCCAACACTGTGTTATCGAAGGTCGAGCTCTTTGCCAACCTGATCATTTAATTTGCATTTCTCTTATTGTATTTTATTGAATCTAAGATGTCATGCGTCCTAAGATGCATCCTGGTTTCAGGGATGCTTGAATGTAAAGATCTGTGTCTTAGAATCATTGAAACACAATGTCTCACTGTGAGTTTAAAAGGCAACTCCTCATCTGTTCGTGTCCCCTCCCAAATTTCCTGGAGGACAGGGTCGCAGTGGTAAAGAGTTTGGGGTTCAGATCCCAGCTCTGCCACTGACAAGCTTGTGACTATGGCAAATCACTTAACCTTCCTGTGTCTCAGTTGTCTCATCTGTAAAATGGGGGGAATAATGGCACTTACACATAGGCTAGTTATGAAGGTTAAAGAAATTACTGTATGAAAAGCACTGTGTTCTGGGAACACAGTAAATGCTCAATAAATGTTTGCCTTTCTCTTTTCTTTTGCGGTGCTGGSGTTGAAACCCAGGGCCTTGTGCTTGTTGGACAAGTGCTCCACCATCTAGTTATACCCTAGCGCTTTTTGCTTCACGGATTTCAAGGGCACTTTTTAAATCAACTCGTCCAGCTCCCTAGTTTCATCCCTTTCTCCATGGCTACGGAAAGTGATGTAGGATACGTAATCGGGCGTTGTAGACACAAATTGTCTAGAAAGAAACCAAAGGCTGGGGACTTCGAGTGGGAGAACAGGTGCTTATCATGCTTAAGGCGCTGAGTCCAAGCCCCCACCAGAGGGGGAGAGAGAAGGTGGGGGGGCGGCGGGGAGACACCAACCAAAGGAAACAATCCAGACGTCCACCAACAGAGGACTGCGGGACGGACCGTCCACCAACAGAGGACTGCGGGACGGACGTCACCCCCTCCCACTCCCGCTCCTTTTTGACTGACTATTGTAGCAACATCATCACACATGAAATGTCCTCAGGCCCTTAAGCAATGGACAGTGATCGTCTCGGGCCCCCCTGAGTCCGCAGCAGGGGCCCCGATTTCCCTGGGCAGCTCCACCCGCTCTCAGGACCTGGCTCGCCACCTCTGCGTTGTCACCTTGGTCTGGAGCGTCAGGGTTTGGGCCTCAGGTTGGCCTCGTGGCTTCACATGACCATGGGGGCCACTTCGCCACTTCCCATGGTGGAAAGAAGGGAGTGGAAGACAAAAATCCCGGGAAAGGGACGCCTCACCGGGGACGCGGGCAGCGGACAGGGTCCAACACCCCCCTTTCCTGGACCTCCCGCCCGCACCTTGCCGCTGACTCGGCGGCGGGGCTGCACGTCCGTCCCGTGCGGCCGGCAACCTCAGACCCCGCGTCCCTCGCACAGGGGACCAGCAGGTGCAGCCGGGCTCAAAGGAGGAGATTCCCAAACGGATTCTCCGCCGTCCTCGCTGTGTGACCCCGGGAAAGCCACCTGACTCCTCCAGCCTCGGGTTCCTCGGCCAACAAAACCGAGAAGGCAAAGGCTACTTTGCAAGGGTCACTGAGGATCAGGCAATAATAGCAACTAATGCTTAAGTAGCACTTAGCGTCAAGCCTTCTGAGCCCTCCGGCTCTGCTAACCATTCTAATCCTCAACAATCCGATGAAGCAGGATTCCCTCCTGGCCAGCAGCTGAGTGACCAGCTCCGGGCAGAGGCGGGACCACGCCGGCGGGAGGGGGCCGGGAGGAACCCAGCTCCAGGGACCGGCTGGGCCGGCCGGGAAGGGGCGGAGCCTCCCGCGGGCTGGGAGCCCCGGGAGCACTACAACTCCCAGCAGGCACCGCGACCTCCGGACTACGGCAGCCAGCAGGCCCCGCGCCTCCCGCTTAACCTCTCGCGGGGCGTTGTGCACAGGAATTTCCCGTTATTGTCAATTTTACTTTTAAGGAACTCCCAACAAGAACCAGAAAAATCTATGCGAATAAACACCTTCTGAGCATCGTGGAAAGGGACTTGTGCTTGAATCCTCATTCCTCCACCCGTAGGCTCTGGGTCTCCGTCGGCTCATCTTTGCAATGGGGCTGTCCCAAGGGGTGGCTGCATCCAGCTGGGAGCTAGTGAAAGCAGGATATAATGGCTTGATAAATGCCATTTTTTTTTTTTTCTCGCGTCCCTTGCTTCTCCCTGTGCCAAGGGGTTTTCTCAAAGTATTTTCTGGACAGCGACCCTGTGGGTCGATACTTTCCTCTCCCGTTCAAAGAGAAACTGCCGCCCGGAAAGTCGTGCAGTGAAGTACGTGGTAAAGAAAGACGTGAACCTAGAAGATTTCCCTTCAGAGGGGCGCCTACCTCTGCAGCCCAAATGTTTCCACTTGCTGCTGATGTTTTACAGTGACCCAAAGTCCAGGACACATATTTAATGTGCTCCCCCAATCAAATCTGTATCCTGTGCTACATAAAACGTCAGGTTGCATTGTGTGTGGCTGAAAAAGGAGGAACACCTGGCATTTTGGGAGCCGATTGTAGCTGAAGCTGACCCATTTGGAGGAACCAAGGAAAGCTTTCCTGAAGAGGTGATCCTAGATCTGAGAATACAGGCAAAGGCCCTGCGGAGAGAGGGCTCTGAAAAGGTTGTGCTCCCTGAAGAGAGCCAGGCTGGGGGGAAGCAAGCAGGCCCTCAGTCGGCCTCACAAGTGCAGTTAGGACCCGAGTGGAAACCTCCTTAAATTCTCTGCCCTGGACACTTCACGGGCCCCATCTTAGTCCGTTATGGGTACATCCTTGCAGGGAGGGCAGCCATCCATCCTAGCTTGCCCACATGCTTCTACTTGCTACTGACCCTTTACAATGACCCAAAGTCCAGGACAGACCCCGTTTCCATTATCCTGGAGGGAATGCAATAGACCCCTTCAGTGTGACAGGTGTCCTCCCTGGAGATAACCTATGGTCTTTCAGCTTGTACCATCTATGTTGTCCAGAGGGAATGGGGAGCCACTTGAAGGCTTTAGCTGAGGGCATTTTGAGTCGACTCTGGCTGCCTTATGGTGACTAGACTAGGGTCAGAACACAGGCTGCCGAGGCTACCCAGGGGAGAAACGGCACTTGCCCTGAGTGGGACCAGTGGAGATGCTTGGCAGAAACTGCTGTCGAGAAAGGTGATGAGTGGGATCTTCTGGGTGAGGGCTTCCGGCTTCCTCTGTCCTGAGTGCTGGTCCTTCCTCTGCTGGGGATCAGCAGTACGACCTTGAGCCAGTTGAAGTTTCTCAGCCTCAGTTTTCACATCCATATAAGGGCTCATAAAGGAGTTGCTCATTAAATTATCACTTATTTGCAAATATATATGTCCCCAGGACCTTTGTACTTGCAGTTTTACCTCCTTTGCATCAGTTGGGTCTCTGTTGAAATGTGACCACCTTAGGAGGCTCTTCCTGGAGATTTCCTGCTGCTCCTTCACTGGTCTATTCCCTGGCCAGTCGTAGTTATAGTGTCCCACTTGTTTACTTGCTCTTTGTCTTCGACTAGAGTCTAAGCCCCTGAAAGCCGGGACTTGGTTCTTCGAGGGTTCATCTCCAGCACCTAGCACAGTGCCTGGCATACAGTTGGTGCTTAACAAACATTTGGATGAAGGAGTAGACTAATGAGCGAAGGAATGAATGCATGGGTGGATGGATGGGCAAACGCTTTTGCTGCCAGCTTTAAAGGTCTCAAATCAGTTAGCTGCGAGTGACCCCAAGCCGCCTCTGGCCCGGCAGCAACAACCCTGGAAGCAAGACTTCCTGGCCTGGGGTCAACTTCTGATTCAGCCGCTTAACAGCTGAGTTCAGCTAAATCGCACGGCCTGGCTCAGCTTCATTTTTCACGTTAATCCTGACCTGGTGAGGACGTGGCGAGGATCTAGCTGGAGAGGAACACGCCCGAGGCTGAACAGGCGCTTTGTGTTTTGCGGCTTTCTTTTCCTTTCACAGTCGCGCCCTCCCAAGCCTAATCGCCCCAGCCCCTCTCACCAAGCACCTCAACACCACCCTCCACCCGGGCCGGAAGACACTTGCAGGTTGCCGGGCCCTCGCGCACGCAGACATTTCCTCTCTGCCAAAGGGTTCTCAGCGGCAGCCCCTCCAGGCCCGGCGCRCGGGTGCGCGAGCAGGCGTCAGCGGCGCGGTCTGCGCTTGCGCGTGCGCCTGCGCACCAGCCCCGGGGGACGGGCGGGGGGAGAAGAAGGGGCCGGCCTTCGAGCGACAGCGGCGCAAGATGGCAGCCACCACGGGCTCGGGTGAGCGGGGGCGGGCCCGGCCGGCCGAGGGGGTGCGGGCTGGGCTGGGGCCGGGGACCCGGGAAGGCCCTTGCAGTGGGGCCGGCGTCTCCGCGCCGCCTGGTCCGCAGGGCTCCGCGGAGTGGCCCGCGCGGCCCGACGGGGAGGAGGAGCAGGCGGCGGCCGGAAGCACGGGCGGGGGCCGAGGGGCCTGTGGGCGGCGCGGCGAGGCGCGGAGGCTCCGGGCGGCGGGAGGGCCCCGCGGCGAGCCAGGCCGGGCGAGCCCCGCGGCGCTGCCGCGGAGAAGAGCGGGCCGGGAGGCCCCCCGGGTGCGGGGCCCGGGACGTGTGCTCGCCGGACGGCGAGGAGCCCGGGGGCGGGCGGGCGGGCGGGCGGAGGAGCGCGGCCCGGCGACGGAGCAGCCCGCACGGCCAGGCGTTGGCCGCAGAGTCAGCAGGTTAGGGACGGAGGCGTCGCCTGGCTGCCTGGGGGAAGTAGGGCATCTCCACGGGGCCGGTGGGAGCGGGGAGGGGCCGCGKCCAGCGCCGGGCTAGGGCGACCCAGGGGCCCCCCAGCTCTAGCAGGCCATATCTGAGGGGACAGGTGACTCCTCCTAGTGAGGCTGCGGAGGCCATCTGCGGGCGGAGCGGAAGAGGACGGRCGGAAGAGGTGCCTTGGGAGTGGCAGCCCCGGCAAGGCCCCCGCAGTGGGTCCAGACTTGATTGCTTAGAGGGGGACTTCTCCTGTCCTGCCCTGGGTCAGGGGGGCAGACCTGGAAGTGCCTGTCCGGTGGAGCCACCACTCCTTTTCACTTTTGGATAACTGGGACAGACTGGTGCCTTCAGCTCCGAAGTTCCCCATTGGCCAGATGGGAGGGACAGATGAGAACTTTTGGGTGACTATGGGGAAGGACAGCCAAGAGGGAATGCTCCTGAGGAAGGGACTCTGGTGGTCCCTGGTAGGTTCAGGGAAGCAGCATTTGGAGACTGGATCTCCTGCTGAGCACACTTAAAGGGGCCAGGAGGGGACACTTGAAGGGGCTGTTTGAGGATTAGCATTCTGCACTTGAACATCTGGAAATGGACTCAGATGGTCTTGGAGGTGGGTTGGTCATTGGCTGCGGACGATTCCTCCGAGGGGCTGATGAGGGAAGAGAGTTAGAGCCCGGAAGTTCAGGAATTTGGGGGAGATTCTCTACCTTTTAATGAGGAGGCTGCATCCTCAGCCCAGGAGGTACCCCCAAATGGGGTGATGGTGGGTTGCCTCTGATAGAGGGAGCAGACAGGGACACCAGCCTGGGTATGGAAGTCCTTGGGTGTAAGATAGGGCAGGGTCAGGAGGGGGATGGAAGTGTGGGGGACCTCATCTTCTCAGGATGTCTCTTCTAGTGTCTGAGTGTGACTGATAGGGTGGGAACTGCTAGAATTGAATGCAGAGGATCTAATTAAAGTCATCCATCACAGACTGCCTTTTACATTGCCTTGTACAATTAAGTCAGCAGGGTCTCCCTGGAGCATAGAGGAGCCGGTGCAGCCTTTAACTAGATTTTGGTTTCAGTTGGTACATTGCTGAATCAGTTCATTTACCAAAACACTACCACAGGCACTCCCAGGAGACAGAGGCTGAGTCAGGGCAGGCTGCTGGGGGAACTTCTCACCAGAATGCCATCCCTGCCAGGTTGCTGTGAGCTGGAGAATGCAGTGTGTCCGAGGCAGCCATTGTTACCATGCAACTCAGCCTTGTTGGCAGTTGCTTGAGATCAGCTACCTACAGTCCAGTTTAACAACTCCTTAATTCTAACTTCCTGAGGCCCTACCAGTGTTAGAGGGCTTCATAAATGCTAGGGCAATCAGAAAACATTAGCAGCTGCTGTCTAGTGGACTCCTAGGGAACTCGGCATGGCTTAGATATAGAACAGGCTTTGAGGCACCCTATACCGGTCTTCCCCAAATGGACATTTTCTGAAGGCCTGTATGTCCTATCATAGATAGCAAACAGGATGGATGTAGCCCCTGTCCTTGAGGAGTTCCTGTTCAAATTAGGGAGGAGGCTATTATGGAAGTAAATAATTAAGAATATTTTCAGCCAGGTGTGGTAGTGTATACCTGTAATCCCAGCAACTTGGGAGGCTGAAGCAGGAGGATCCCAAGTTTAAATCCAGCCTCAGCAACTTAGGCCCTAAGCAACTTAGACTTGTCTGAAAAAAAAGAAAAGAAAAGAAAAGGGCTGGGGATGTGGCTCAGTGGTTAAGCACACCTGGATTCAATCTCCAGCCCAAGATGGGGATGTGGCTCAGTGGTTAAGCACACCTGGATTCAATCTCCAATACCAAAAACAAACAAGAATATTTTCACATACAGGGAGTGCTGTGAAGGAAATTGGGTGATGTGATAGTGTCCGGAGAAATGGTCAAGATGGGCCTCTCTGGGAAAGTGGCATTTGAACCGAGACAGATGATGGAAAGAACCAACCCTGCAACTTGTGTCATAGGGAGGACTGTCCATGCCAAAGCCCTGTGGTGGCTCTGAGCTTGATATGTTGAAAGAACAGAATAAAATTCCTCGGTGTGTGAGGCAGACTTGTTAAGGAGTMCCGTCATGGAGGTGTAGCTTTGGGTTTTATGAAGTACAAGGGGAAGCTATTGAATGAGTATCTGATATGAAGTGGGCATTTAGGAAGTGTTTGTTTAATGAATGCTTTAAAATGACCTGTGGCCACAGGCAGTGAAGGTGTGTAGTACAGGCTTTCTAACCCTGAGAAGTTTGTCAGGTGTGTTGCGGAGCCTGTGCTCAGGTTTAAAGAGAACCTTTTGATTAATCTGTGCCCTTGATGCCAGGAGAGAGTCGTGAAGCCTTGAGTTCCTGCAGAGGCTGGACTTGGTTTCATGGTCAGCGCTTGCTGCACCACCTTCCTCTCATTTCCCTTGGGTCTGATGTGCGCTTTCCGCACAGATCCTGGAGAGTAGAACTGAGAAACATCCCTCTCAGTTCCTCAGGATGCCACACTGTGACTGGTGGATTTCTCCTGCCTTGTCCAGTAGTGCAGGATCTCAGACAGTGGTCCTTGCTGTCACCCCGCAGCCCACAGACTTCCCTGACAGTGAACTAGAAACCAAGTGCAAGAGGAGTGAACCCTAGCTGGGCATGACTTCAAATTTGCATACCTAGGAGTGGCTCCCGTACACATCTGGTTTATGACAGGTTAACCATGTGGGCAGTGGAGATTAAACAGTTGTCCCTTCTGTTCAAGGGTGTTTCCCAGAGAAAGCTGGAGATGAGAACTCATAGTCCCTTAGTAGGTCTCAGTTCCCCTATGTCTCACTGTGAGCCATCTTGAGCCAATTGTAGTTAAGTGACTTTTGCAGTGTGGTCCCTGCAGTCAAGGAAGGAGCTCCATAGTGGCTCAGCCAGAGAGCCTGCAGTGTGCTCAGTGACGCGGGAACTGGCTTAGCTGGGCGAGTGCCAGCTGTTCTGTTAAGGGACCTCCAGGGTTCATTTCAGTGTTGATTTTGTCCCTTCCACATTAACTTTAAAGTCACCCTGTTCCCTCCCCCCTTCCTCTTTCTTCTCCTCATTGTTCCTCCTCCATTTTGAATTGAACTCTACAGTAGTTTGATCAAAGTAGAGTACAACTGTGAATCTGCCTAATTCTAATAGGCCACAGGGAGGTACAGAGCAGCACGGTTGGTGGAGTAAATATTGTGAAATTACTGCTTTCATGCTGCATGTGGTGCTTTGGAGCATTCCAAGGACTTTGCTGGCCTTTCCTGTTGTCTCCTCTTAGCGCTCACAGCCCGGAGAGCTAACGGGGCAAGTGTCAGTTACTGAGGGAAGAACTAAAAGTTGAGGGAGCTGGTGGCTGGCTGAGAAGCGGTGGTGGTCACACCAGAGCCCATTTTGACTGCAGCCCCCTGCTACACACACACCCTGCTCCAGGACCTTAGGAAACAGGTGGAAAGGCGTGGATTTGACATGTTCTTCCTGAGTCTTGGAGTGTTTATAATCTTGGGAAAGAAAGGACCTGAATGAGAAGTGTCTGCCGTCCACTTGAGGAACCCTTTTTACAGCATCCCTAGCCATTGTGTGTCCCCTGCTGGGTCATGGGAGTTTTTTAGGGAAGTGCTTGCATGTACCCTGTTCTGAGTAACACACCCACTGGGCCTAGCGTAGCTCACGTGCAGGTCCTGGTCCTGGTCTGCAGCAGGCCCTGGGACCTCTGTAGGTTGCCCACTGGACTGTTATCTCCGGCCCCCATTGCCTCTTCTCCAGAGCCGGCATTGCGGGCCCCCAGCACTGGGCCTCTGTCCACATTTCCGCCTCGGCCACGCACTTTCCCTCGAGTTGATGAGAGTGGATGGTGTCTGGCAGGAGTCTTTCCTCAGCTTCACACCCTCCCTGTCACAGGTCCAGCAGGTGTAACCCCAGTCCCCTCCATCCCCCTTGTCGTCCTGTAACCAGAACACCACCTCCCTCCTGTGTGGAAGTCGGGAGGCCTGCTTTGACTTGCCCTTTTCTAATACATTTTCTATACAGGAAGCAGAATGTCAGAAACTGTCATTTCCCCTCAGAAAGCCTTTCCTGTTGCTCTTGAAGAATAAACTCAGGATTTTCCCATGGCCCATAAGGCGCTGAGTGGCCCTGGCCCTGCACCCGCTGCCTCACACTCCTGTTCTTGCTTTTCCCCTGCTGGGTGTGCAGGTCTCCATGTGCCCGGCTGCTTCTTATTCTTCAGGTTGCAACACTCCCCAGAAAGCCCATCCTTTGCCACCTCATTGCATGGAATGGCTTTTTGTTCTGTTTTGATACCAAGGATTGAACCCAGGGCACTTAACCACTGAGCTACCTCCTCAGCCCTCTTTATTTTTTGAGTCAGGGTCTCGCTGAGTTGCTGAGGCTGGCCTTGAGCCTGTGTT